TTTTTATATAAAAATAATTTTGAAACACAATCAAAAAGAAGCAAAAGATACCAATGATTAAATTAGTTTTTGTTAAGCAGACTTAATAACCTGTAAATGAAAATTGCTTGATAAAAATGACTTTAAATTATAGCTAATAATTTACTGTTGTTTGCTTATTTCCATGTTATAAATATGAAGTGTAGCAAAACAAGACAACAAGGCTGCTGTAGTCAGCTGTATTCCTTTAAAACATCCTTTTCTCTGCTGATTTATGAATCCCACTGTTCTCTCGAGGGCAGATAGAACATTTGAGTCAGAACTGTGGGTGAGAGAACTGATAGCGCCTGTCGGCTAGCGGCGCTATCTAGGTCAGATAGTGTATCACATAACACCTTGTGCCCGGCACTGGCACCACAGCCTTGATATGATTAGAAAAAAAGAGGGTGGAAGAGGGCACAAAACCCCAAGCTTTTGTCTTCACCAAAGTTTATATAAAACTCTGTAACATTTACAGGGAACAAGTTTGTTTCAAAAACATTTCAGATCTCTCAGAATAAATAAAAACTACTTCACCTAAAGAAGATCTACAAAGATTATTTATTTAATATAAATTCTTGTTTCTTACCAAACAGTCTTTAGCAACATTGTGAAAACAAAAACAATCAGTTTATTCATCTTATTTCCTCTGGTTTTAGCCACTGATGAAAATAAAGTACCACCAATCCCACAACCAAACTAAAACACCTGGATCACACAGCTTTTGTCTGTGGTCATATATAGGGTCCTAACCAATAGCTGCATCAGCCTCATCCTGCTGAAACGACCAGGAGACACATACGTGCAGCCCAGTATGGCCGTCTGACGTTGCACAGGTTAAGCTTGGTTTATGCTTGACGCATTCACTTTCCGCTTGGTGATGCGGCTCGCGGATGGAACGCGCTTCACAACTTGCAGCGTTTATGGTTCATGCGGCTCGTCTCTGCGGTGAGCCAATATTCTCCAAAACTGATCGAGGCAGCATGGAGCTCTACGGCATGCATCCAACACTACATCATAGTAGAAGTAGAAATTACTGTTTACAACATGGCATTCCAGCATTTTTACCAGCGTCCTCGTCTTTTCTGACAGTGCGAGCTATTTCTCTCCAAGAATGATTAACAACATGTTGATCACGGTGATCTCTGAGAGCTGAATCATACAAATGTCTGTATTTACGAACCTCTGCCATAACTAGTTCTTGCCGGTCCGCCATGTTTTTCCGCGTCCAACCGTCCGCGTGGTTAGAACATTTCCTAGGTGCACGGTGCGGAAAGTTTGGGCCGTGCGGAGGCGCGGTGGAGGGGCGTGGTTGTTAGAATGACGCAACTTTTCCACGCGGAGCCGTGCGGACCTCGCGGACGCGTCAAGCATAAACCAACCTTTAGTTGGAAATGGTGTCAAATCATGCACTGCTCTAAAACGTCAATGTTTACATTCTGTCCATCATTTGCTCCTCATCTTCTAACACTTTCAAGAACAGATTACTCAGATACTTCTGTTAAAACTGATTTATTCCAGACAAGTTTTTAATAAATAGATTAATTAGAAACAAGCACAGTTGTTTATTTTGAAGGGGCTTTCATGAAAACATCAGTTATGAACGGTGAGGTGCTACCAGTGGGGAGGGGGTGACTATGTGACCTAGATGTGCCAAGAGCTCTTGTGTTTGCGTCTGGTTTTTGTGGCCCTGCACGTTGTTGGCACAACCCTAAAGAGAAGGGCTCTCCAGCCTGGTGATGCGCCACATGGGGCCATAAATTATGTTCACAGCTACATAAAACCAAGCAGCAGATAATCTCACACCAAGAGCCCTTATGAGTTACAGGGTGGGTGGTATGTCACATGCATCCGTTAGGCCAGTGTGACTACCGGTGCACACACAAATGCAGGGAGGAACTTTTTCAAGGATAAAATTAAGTTGAAGTTTTCTTTAACATGCTCAAATTCTATCTTCTATGCTGACCTTTTCTCGCCTGCAGTCTGGTGATGCGTTTTCACTTAGACTACAAATCAATAAATCCTTCACAATTGGCGACACATTTCAGTTCTCACACCCTCATCTTGCACCGTCACGATCCTCTCTGACCTCTGACTCTTTATTTCCTTCATTTATCTATTTGCCCGTTCGACCCTCCTCTTCCTCAATGGGCTAAAAAAAAGGCCTCCAAAGAACCGCTTCCTCATGCTGCCAAAATGTTTCATTAGACTGGTGAACGATATTTTCCATCCAAACAAGATTACAGGCTGGGGGAGAGAGGGAGATCAGAGGAGAAATAGCAGGGATTATATATAGATGTACGACTGTAATATGTCTGTGAGTGTTTATTGGCTGACAGGGTCTATTAAGAGAACAGTCTTTAAGCCACCGAGGACAGACTTCCCTGTCTGTCAAGTGCTAGACAAACAACAAGTTGAGCCATGGGAACTTTCACAAGCCCTTGTCACCGAGTGGCACCCAAAATGACAGCAAATAAAAGGAAACACAAAGTTTTAAGTACAAGAACAAGAAAAAAAAACAAGAGTTATTTTTATTGACAGATGTCATATGTTCCCCTCTCACAAAAAGGTAAACAAATTCTGTAAACCCAACAGAAGCTCATAACTGTCAACTAAAAGTAGAAAAATATTCCTTTGGAAAGCTCTTACCACTTAAAATGTGAAGAATCAAACATCAACACAGCATGACACATTTAAAGACCCTCAAACTATCCATCTCTATGTTATTCCATGACGCAGGCTCACAAACCCAGACTCTACAAAAATAGCAGCAATCCCCCAGACATGATAGGAGGCCAGACAAGGTCAGCAGGATGATAGCTACAGGTCTGTTACAGCTAACAGAGTTCATTTTAAGTAAAGAGACATGGACATTAAAACAGTCTACCCAGCTTTGTATTCAATCAAATAACCCCTGTATTTTACCGTATTTTCCAGAGTATAAGTCGCACCAGCCATAAAATGTATAATGAAGAGCATTTCACATTGCAAGGCAAGAACCGGTAACAATAACAGAATAAACAATCAGGGCGCAGCAGCGTGCCAGTCTCCAGCAGAGGATGGTGGTGTTTGAAACCCTTCCAGCGGGGCAGAGGAGCTGAAACCTGGACCGGAGCCGGCCCGCAGCAGCGCGCAACGGTCCCCAGCAAGTGATGGCAGGGCAGCGGAGCTCATTCCTGGTCCAGAGCCGGCCCGCAGCAGCGCGGTATACATAATTTGGTATATATGTCACTTTGGTATTTAAGTCGCAGGACCAGCCAGACTATGAAAAAAAGTGCGACTTATAGTCCAGAAAATATAGCAGCGCTTTCTCTTTTCATTAGTAGTGAGTGTACCGTTTAAGGGTTAGCTGCTACCTAAATCCTCTATACTTCAGCTACACCTGCTTATCGTGAAGACAGCTGCAGAGGGCTGGATTATTGATCAGCAGTGATGGGAATAGTGGCATCAACAAGTCATCTCGATGCCGTGTTTTTCTTCAGTTCAGCAGTCAGGTGATTTCAATCAGCACAAGAAATGAACCTGGTTCAGTTGCGGAACAGAACAAATCATGGCATGGGGTTGACTTGTTGATGCCACAATTCCCATCTCTGCTGATCTGATCTCTCTGGATGGTAGGAGAAACTCTGAACATAGAGGAAAATCTCTCACAGATACCAAGATGACCAAAAAACAAACAGCCACAACACCCAGACTCAACGTAGCACCATTGTTGTGCCACGTCTGAAGAGTAACACGGATACAGGGACTAACTGTGAAGTGTTGTCTCACAGCAATGCTGTAGGGGTGAAGGGATGGACCTTATTAATGACTGTAATCATGTTAAAGGCCAGTAGAGCATGGTCAGCTGACTGAACCCATGTGCACGCGCGCACACACACACACACACACATACATACACACACACACACACATCATGTTTCCTGTAAAACTGCTGCAGCAGGTTATTGAATACTTTAACGAGGTGAGTAACTAGTAACTGAAAAGTAACTGATGATGGAACCCTGCATGGATGGACAGCTGACATAATGGTCCTGATCAAGAAAACAAGACACTTTAAACCAAAATAATCGTCTCAATAGAAAATTTGTGATAAAGTCGTCATAAATAAGCGCAACACCATTTACTTAAAAAGAATGGTAATCTAATAATTGTTTAACCTTTGGAGGTTCCTTAAAAAAAGCTACACTTGAGACCTTCGCACAAAAACATGCACAAGGGACATCTCAGGGTTATTTCCTTACAATTCAGCTAATGGAGTCACTCTGTAAACCAATTTAGTCTTCATTTTTTTCTGTTTGATGATTAGTATAATAGTCTGGGCTAGTATTTGTCCAGTAGCAAAACTCCAGCTCATGGGAGTAAATCCCATTAAAAGCCTGTGCTGAAATGATTACATAGAATACAGTTGTTTGCTTTGCTTGAATAGATGTTACAATAAAGTTTGTTATGATTGTGCTTCCATTACTTTCACTGATGCTTGTCTCTAAACATGCTGCTTACACTTAAATAAACTTTATTTACTCTCTCTGTTCCTCTGCTGGTGGGTGAACATATTTTGTGTAAACATGTAGATGTTGATACATGCAACGGTTTAGATGCTCAATGCTCTCACAGAAGGATTCCTCAGCACTATTTTAATGGACTTGTTACTATATTTATACATCTGTATTTCTCATCTCACTGGTTACCAGAGAATAACATGAGAGACAGATGAGTGCAGTGTTACACAGTTGAAACATTTTAACGTGAGAACTTGAAGAAATCAAGCATTAATGTAAAAATGTGAGGTTTATTTATAATGGCATCTTTCATCTTAATGTATTATAATAAAAAGAGTGTCACCAGAAAACTTTGGTCACCTCCACTGACTGAACAAGTTAAATAAGAAACATTTCAATATAAAATACTATCTGGAAAACGAACATGGAATCAATTAAAGGCTTAGATTACTTTAATCTGATTTAAAGATCAGGTCTCACCTGGCTGTGGGGCTGTCATCGGTGTGTGTGTGTTTTGGTGAGTGGGGGGCTGCGGGTCCTTCCTCTCCATCCTGAGGCAGCTCTTCACATTCAGCCTCACACTTCTCATCATCCAACAGCTCTGTGATCTGAAGACAGGAGCAGAAAAAAAGGTTAAGGCAGGAAAAACAAAACACTTGATAATAATGGTGCAAATACTTGTGCCAGACCAGGTCGAGATATTCCAGTTTGTTCTTTGTGACATCTAAAGAAAGATTAGCTTAATGCAACAAAGATAGTGTGTGAAGCAGGGAGGCAGTGAATGAGAGGAGAAATCTATGAAGGACAGCTGGTAGAGTCAGAGAAGAGGGGGAGAGGTCTTTTGGAAGGAACAGGGCCTGAAGTGTTGAAAGTAGAACATTCTTCGCATTGACACTGCAGTGTACCCATATGCATATAATCATATCACACATTACTCTAAAAGGCTAAACAGATCCACTGTCCTAAACTGTCTGACTCATCAAAACCTAACATTTAGCCTTCCTTTTCATGATCAACACCACATACGTGAGATAAGAAAATAACGAGCCAATCGTAAAATTGGAGGGAATGATACCAATGAGAGGGAAATGAGAAACAAACCAGGAGAAGTTGGATGGTAGAGGATCCTAGCAGGTGTGTGATCTTCACATTAATAACTGACTTAACTTAAACACACAAGCCCACATCTGTTAAAGTGGTAATGTGCTGAAAATTGAAGTAATTTACTTTTAAATGCCATTCAATTTTTGAGTCATCACACTGCTAAATCTCCAAGCTACTCACAAAAAACTTTTATGATGTCTTAAGCACCAAGAGCCAATTCAACCAAACAGAGAGGAAATGTGGGTTAAAGGTAAAACCAGACTCTAGTTTGTTTGTCCTCTACTCCATTTTTCTTCCTATACTTTTCTCCTTCACAGCAGCAGCTCCGTCTGCTGCTGTCACTGAGTCGTTGCTATGGAAACACCTCTGGTCCAAAAGCTCCAATTGGCCAGTGAGGAATTCTTGCATCGTCACGTGCTGATCTGGAAGGATGACTCACAAGAGTGTGAGTGTGTGAGACGAAGATATTGATCAAAACTGCAAACCTTTTTGCATAATTTTCTACACTTTTACCTTTTAAACAAATGAAACGTGTACTGTTTTTTGGTTAAGCTGAACCATAAAGTGAGAGATTATCCTATTTTTAAGAACTAGCAGGTGTGATCTTCACATTTTAAATGCCATTCAATTTTTGAGTCATCACACTGATGATTAGTATAATAGTCTGGGCTAGTATTTGTCCAGTAGCAAAACTCCAGTCATCACGTTAAAATGTTTCAACTCCAAGCTACTCACAAAAAACTTTTATGATGTCTTAAGCACTAAAGGCCAATTCAACCAAACAGAGAGGAAGTGGTGGAGGAGCTGATGATTAGGTTAGAAAACAATTATTGAAGCAGAATGAGGATTCTTACAGTTTGTGTAAAAACAGTCTGGTGGTGAATTGTGAGTAACAAAAGAAAAAAGAATCCAAAAACAATTCATTAAACACTTCTCTACTGTTATAATTTAAATCAGGGTTATTTTAAAGAGACACATTATGACTTTTTGATGATGGTTTTATGATTGATATGATACATGTTTATGAAGTTCTTTGCACAAACTTCCTCTCACATTAAGTGATTTCAGCAGTTTTAGTGGTGGTTCCACTGGAATGGCAGACCAGGGTGGTTGTCCCCTATTTAAAAAGGGGGACCACAGTGTGTGTTCCAACTACAGGGGATCGCACTCATGAGCATCCCTGGAAAAGTGTATTCAGGGGTTCAAGCGAGGAGTGTCCGACGGATTTTTGAACCTCGGATTCAGAAGGAGCAGGGCTGTTTTTGTCCTGGCCACGGAACACTGGGCCAGCTCTATACTGTTAAGGGGGTCCTGGAGGGTGCATAGGAATTCACCCAACCAATCTACATTTGTTTTGTGGATTTGGAGAAGGTATTCGACCGCATTCCTAAGGGAGGCCTGTGGGGGGTACAGGTACCAGGCCCTTTAATACGGGCTGTTAGATCTCTGTATGATGTGATCTCCAGCTTTCGCTGGAGTGGTTCGCAACAAAATGTGAGGCAGCTGGGATGAGAATCAGCTACGGGATGAGAATCAGCTACTCTAAATCCGAGACCATAGACTTGAGAAGGTAAATGGTAGAATGCTTTCTTCAGGTCAGGGACAAGGTCCTGCCCCAAGTGGAGGAGTTTATGTATCTTGGGGTCTTGTTCATGAGTGAGTGAAGGGTGGAGAATGAGATCTATAGGTGGCTTGATGTTGCGCCTTCTGTGATGTGGGCATCGTACTGGTCTGCTGTGATGAAGAGAGAGCTGAGCCAGAAGGCAAAGCTCTCAATTTACCTGTCAATCTACGTTCCAACACTCACCTGCGGTTACAAGCTTTGGATAGTGACAGAAATTATGAGATCTGGATACAAGCGTTTTCTCTGCAGGATGTCTGGGCTCTCTCCTAGAGATAGGATGAGAAGCTTGGTCATCCAGGAGGAGCTTTGAGTAGATCTACTGCTCCTCTGTATCGAGAGCATCAGTTGAGGTGGCTAGGGCATCTGGTCAGGGGCAGCAGTAACTCGGGAGGTAGAGCGGGTTGTCCAGCAATGAGAGTGTTGTAGGATCAATCCAGGCTCCTGGTAAAGTGTTCTGTTGTTGTGTCCTTGGGCAAGACTTGCCTGCTGGTGGTGGTCAGAGGGACTGGTGACGCCTGTGCTCGGCCGCCTCATCTTGGTTTGTGCGCTCCAGGGCAGCTGTGGCTACATTGCAGCCCATCAACATCAGCGTATGAATGTGTGTGAGAATGTCTCAATGAAACACTGTGTAAAGCATTTTGGAGTCCTCTGACTCTGAAAGGTGCTATCCAAGTACTGGTGATTTATCATTTAGGATGCCTCCTGGACACCTCCCTGGAGAGGTTTTTACAAGCACATCAAACTGGGAGGAGACCAAGAGGCCATTATGGTCTACATTTTTTGAAGCCAAGAAGGAGTGGCTAAAATTGCAGTTCAACCCTCATCCACTAGGGGATGGAAGCAGAAGTGAGCAAATCCTCATTGACTCCCATGTTAAAAATGCCAATTTCAGAGCAGAAACAAACATGTTTACAGCCTGGTTCAAAAAACCATTTTAGGTTTAATAAGGTGCCATCGGATAAGAGAAATACTCCAGACAAAGACTAACTGCTTGGTCAAACATGTTAGTGGTGCTGCTGGCTAGATAAGAAACTTGAGCAGATGTCCATCTTCTGTCTCCTGCCGAAGACGAGTTGCTATAGCAGGCGGCTGGCTGTTCCCATTTCTCGGGGCAGCCGATGTGCGTAGTCATGCTGGAGACATCATTTGGAATCATAGAATGTCCAAGAACGATCCAGTCTTTCTCGGCACAGAAAGGCTCTATTACGATTGGCCATTTAATTTAGCAGAAAACCCTCTACTCATGCTAAGTGCAGACCATTCTCCTGCTTCGCCACCAATAGAAAACTGTTTTGGAGAGTTTTGTAAAGAAAATGTGAACTTAGCGCTATAATAACCAGAAGCGAGAAAGAATGGGCCTTCCTTGGACATACTACGATTCCAAATGACACGCCCGGGAGCCCTGGCCTTTCATATCAGCTCATTCTCTGTGGTTGGAGATCAGTGGTGCATTAGATACATGCTAACTCGAAGCTAACAGAATTTTTGCAGGCGTTTTTAGCAAGAAAAACGCGGTAGAGCAACGACGATGGAGTTGTTTTACCACATTAGGATGTAGCTAATGTCCCGCTGATCTCTGCCTGAGAAGAATGAGCTAATCTGGAAGGCCAAGGCTCCCGGTTCAAGTGATCTGGCTCTGCTTGTAATTTAACAATTCCAGTCCATATTAGATCTCCACAGGCGACCAGCACGACTACAGCTTCGCACTGAAGCTGGTTGGCCATGCGGGTAGGCTATCCTGTGGTCCCCAGAGCCCTTCTTAGTTTCTTGAGTTAGTCAAGTTAGCTAGTAGCTACACTGGTTTCATAGGGAGCCTAAAGGTTGTTTTATGCTTGACGCGTCCGTGAGGTCCGCACGGCAAAATTGCGTCATTTTGACAACCACGCCCCTCCACCGCGCCTCCGCACAGCCCAAACTTTCTGCACCGCGTACCTAGGAAATTTTTTAACCACGCGAAGAGTCAGACGCGGAAAAACATGGCAGACCAGCAAGAACTAGTATGGCAGAGGTTCGTAAATACAGTCATTTGTATGATTCAGCTCTCAGAGATCACCGTGATCAACATGTTGTTAATAATTCTTGGAGAGAAATAGCTCGCACTGTCGGAAAAGACGAGGACGCTGTTAAAAAATGCTGGAATGCCATGTTGTAAACAACAGTAATTTTTACTCCTACTATGGTGTAGTGTTGGATGCATGCCATAGAGCTCCATGCTGCCCTGTTCAGTTTGGGAGAATTTTGGCTCACCGCAGAGAAAAGCCGCATGAACCATAAACGCTGCAAGTTGTGAAGCGCGTTCCATCCGCGAGCCGCATCACCAAGTGGAAAGTAAATGCGTTAAGGATAAACCAAGCTTTAGTCCCCGGAAGAACGAAAAAATGAATGTAAGTCAATGAGGCTAAAAAGCTATTCACTATTTCCACTTGTTTTGTGCCATGGATTTCATACATATGATGTCTGTGAATTTTAATGACACATTTTGATACCAAGAAAATGCTTATTACCAAACAGAGGGAAACGTGATTTTAGGTTTTGTGTGAAAATAAGTCCTGGACTACAAATGCGCTTCACGAAAGTGACGTCATCATACCAGACACAGAGAAAACTGAGGGAAAATGGCTGTAAGTCCAGCAAACTTCAAATCATTCTAACAGGAGAACAGAGCCACCATAAATCTGGTCATTTGGTAAGTAGCAGCTACGCTAGGAGAGAGGAGATAATGTGGCGACATCACATATGCAAGCTCTCGGATGGAAACCGATGTTTTCCACCCGTTTCTCCCCTCCCCGCAGCTTGGCGCATCTCTGTCTGATCGCGGCTCCTGTCTGCTGCGCGGGCTGCCGGCTTGTGGAGCTCTGGGATGGAAATCTTTCCACCCGG